TTGTTGAAAACCCTGTTTTTGAGAAAATTAAATCCACTTAACCAGCTGTTTGAGAAAGAGCTGCCAGCCTTTGTGAAAATCATTAAACCAAACGTGGAGAAACTTAATGGAAATCCAGTAGAGTACTCAAAATTCAAAGCGATGTTTAATGTTGAATTAGCTAAAAAGGAAGTTTACTACTTAACAGAGAAGCTTAAATTTCTGCTAGATTCTGTAGAAGGAAGTGCAAAATCGCGTCTAACAAAATTCATGCCAGGTTCAGACAAATACGAGGCATGGACTGCGCTCCAGGAGCGTTTTGGCCACGTAGACACTGTTGTGTCAGCTGCAAAGAAGCGCATAGATCAATTTCGGACCATAGTGAAAGAAAATAGTACTCAGATCAGGCAGTGTCAAGAAATAGTTTCTGAGTTTATGGGCATTTTCAAGAAGTACACCTTTTTCATGAGCATAACTCACAAGTCCCTGAAGCTGCGGTTGCTAAACTTCCTGCATGCTCTTGAAGTAAATGGGCCGAGTTTGTTGAAGGAAAACCAGAGTTGTCAACCTAGGATTCATTTGTAAATTGGCTGGAAAAACAGGCGAAAATCAGTGAGTTCAAGCAGCGGTGAATGCCAGAGAAGAAAGAGCGGAAGCTTTCAGATACATCTAGAGTTGATAGGCATAAGTCAGCTGTCAAATCATACACTAGACTGTTTGTAGGAGCCACAGGAGAAGCTTTATGCACCAGCTATGGAACAAAGAGGTACCCAATTCACCAGTCCACTAATCACACCGTGCAAGAGTGCAAAAGTTTTAAGGGAATGTTGACTAGCGAAAAGGTGAACGTTGTTGAGAAACACAAACTATGCTTATATTGTCTATATTACCTGATCATCATCTGAGTAAATGCTATAGTAGGAATAGATGCAAAGTTGAGAGCTGTGACATGCATCATCATACCCTCTTAAATGAAGTCGACTTGAAATAAGATGAAATTAAACATGAAACGATTAGATCTACACAGGACCAGATCTTCTCTCCCTTCGGTTTGGAGTCTTCCTTAGATTTTGTGAAGGAAGAATTGCAATGGTTGCTAATATGAAAGAAATGAACCATGTGCTTCGCCTCCCTGATCATTGTAGTGTCTTATATTGCATTATGAGTATGCGCACTGGGTTGTTATTACGAGTATGATTAGAGAAGTAGAAGTTTCCATTAAAAGAGTTCAGAATTATAATCGAGGATTCCATAACTGGCGACGAGGATATCCCAAACAAGCTCACCTACAACTACAACTCAATTTACAGTCATTTTGAAACAACTACATCGGATAAACAATGGAAAAAAACATTCTTCTCACCATCATGTGCGCTAGCCGCCATCTTGAAACTGTTTTGAGGTGAAAATCCAGACTTCTCGACTCAGTTGAACAATAATATACACTCGCCACGGAAGATTCCCCGGAAAATTGCATCACAAGATTACACCGAATGATTACACAATTGCTGAAGCGAAATAGCGAATATTTTACCTCCATTTCCTCCATTCTCTGTACATGAAGACGACGCTTCAGTCAGTCCGCGTTGGAAAAAATGGTTGAAGCGTTTTGAAATGTATCTTGCTGCTCATGAGGTGAAAGATCCGACACGCAAGAGAGCGCTGCTACTATACTCCGCTGGTGAGGAAGTCGCCGACATTTTCGAAACACTTCCAGACCAGGGCGAAGAGAAAGAATACGACAAAGCCGTAACCGCTTTGAATGCTTACTTCCAGCCCGAAGTAAACAAGACGTACGATATTTACATGTTCAGAAATGCTACCCAGAATCCTGGTGAACTGCTAGATTCCTACTGCACACGGCTCAGACGCCTGGCTCAAACCTGTGAGTTTGCCAATGAAGACGAAGAAATCAAATCACACATAGTCGTCTCTTGTTCATCTTCACGACTGCGGCGAAGAGCTCTACGAGAAGATATGAATCTCAAAGACTTACTTGCCTATGGCCGGGGTCTAGAAATGTCTGACAAGCAAGCGAAAGGTATTGAGGAGCACAAAAAGTTAGCCAAAGTATCACCAGTCCAGACAGAAAAGCGAACGTCCGAAAACAAAATGCTACAGATGTGGCGAACACTACCCTCATAAAGGGCGACCTTGTCCAGCCCCTGAAAGAAACGTGCAAGTACTGTCACAAAAGGGTCATTTCGCTACCGTGTGCAGAAGTAGATTAACTGCCAAGAAAGTCAACACTGTGGGTGAAGGAGATAGTGATGAGTCCACTGATGAAGAATACACCTACCGTATCACTCTCCACTCCGTGCGTGACAAGGCACAACCATTAACTGAAGTTATCATTGGAGAAAAGACAGTGAAATGTCTTATCGACTCAGGAGCGGGAGTGAATGTTATTGACACGTATACTTTCAATCAGATGGAGAATATTCACATTTCACCTACTTTTAAAGAAGATCTATGGCTACAGATCTTCCGAGCCTTTGCCAGTCGTTGGAACGTTCGAAGCCAAAATCAAGTCGGGAGTGACCAACAAATTCAAGGTCGCAAAATTCTGTGTCGTTGACGGACAGGATGGAAACCTGATAGGCTATGAAATGGCAACTGATCTCGGACTGCTGAGCATAGTAAACAGTGTATCAGCACCCCAGGTGGATGACATCGTGGGGGAATACAAAGATTGCTTTGAGGGGCTGGGGAAGATGAAAGATAAAGCTGCGAAATTACATGTCAATAGTAGTGCAAGACCACTTGCTCAGAAGTTCCGTAGACTACCATTTCACATTTGCGAACAAGTTGAGGCTGAGCTCAAGAATCTAGAGGAACTTGACATAATAGAACGAGCTGAAGGACCGACTCCCTGGGTGTCCCCGATAGTGGTAGTTCCAAAGAAGACAGGAATACGCATATGTGTCGATATGAGAGCGGCCAATCAGGCTATAGAACGGGAACGACACCCAGTACCTACTGTAGAAGACCTGATCATTGATCTGAATGGATCCACTGTGTTCAGCAAGATAGACTTAAACCAAGGCTATCACTAAATTGAGCTGGAAGAAAATTCTCGAGGCATTACTACTTTTGCCACGCACATTGGTTTATTTCGATACAAGCGACTCACCTTTGGAGTCAACTCAGCAGCTGAAATATTTCAGAAGTCTATAGAAGAGGTATTACAGGGAGTTGAAGGTGCAAGAAACATATCTGACGACATAATAGTGTTTGGCAAGAACCAAGTTGATCATGACGAGGCTCTACGAGCTGTTCTTCAGAGAACGAGAGAAAACAATCTAGCTACAAACCCTGACAAGTGTCTCTTAAACCAATCATCCATTGACTTCTTTGGCCATCACTTCTCTGCAGATGGCATCAGTGCAGACGACAAGAAAATTTCATCCCTCATCAATGCCAGTGCTCCCAAGAATGCAACTGAGGCACGCAGTTTTCTTGGTTTGGCCCAGTACCTTGCACGCTTCATCAAGGACTTTGCATCCATTTCCGCTCCAATCCGTCACCTCACACACAAAAATGCCAAATGGGTGTGGGGCCTAGAAGAACAACATGCATTTGTTTGTCTTAAGGCTCGCATGGCAACTCCAGAAGTCATGAAGTACTTCAACCCCTCGTTGGAAACAGAGCTGATCGTTGATGCCAGCCCTGTTGGACTGGGAGCAATTCTCACACAATTAACAGCAGATGGAGGAATGAACATTATAGCTTATGCAAGTCGCTCACTCACTGATTGCGAAAGCCGTTACAGTCAAACCGAAAAGAGGCCCTTGTAGTGATCTGGGGAGTTGAACACTTTCACCTGTACCTGTATGGATCATCTTTTCGCGTCATCACAGATCACAAGCCATTAGAAACAATTTTCAACAACCCCACCTGCAAGGCAACTGCGAGACTTGAAAGACTACAGCTACGCCTACAGCCATATGAAACTGCAGTTGTTTACAAGCCAGGAGCAGACAACCCAGCCGATTACATGAGTCGTCATCCTGATCCCAAGCAGTCACAGACCCCCCGTCATTTATCGAGAGTTGATGCCTATGTCAACTTTGTGATCACTAATGCTATGCCATCTGCCATTACCCTTCAAGAGATCAAAGATGCGACAGCAACAGATGAAACATTGCAGAACCTGGCAAGGGTGATAACAACTCAAAAGTGGCACGAAGTCGGAAAGGATGTCGGTCAGTACCAACAGATCAAACAGGAGCTGTCAGTATCAAATGGTGTAATTCTGAGAGGAACCCGCATAATAGTTACTGGAAGACTACGACAGCGAGTGATTATGTTAGCCCACAGTGGACATCAAGGCATTGTCAAGACGAAGCGTTTTCTGCGAGATTCAGTCTGGTTTCCAGGGATAGATAAAATGGTTGAAGAAATGGTAAGAGAGTGTCTACCATGTCAAACTGCAAACCATGATGCAAAGCCGGTTTCTGAGCCTCTACAAATGTCCCCACTACCACAAGGTCCGTGGCAAGAGCTATCCATGGATTTCTGTGGTCCTTTTCTAAATGGAGACTACTTGTTAGTCGTGACTGATGACTTCAGCAGATATCCAGAAGTTGAGATCCTGAGGTCAACATCAGCAAAAGCAGTAATTCCACACCTTGACAGTATCTTTGCTAGACAAGGAATTCCCAACATAGTAAGAACTGACAATGGTCCACCTTTCAACAGCGAAGATTTCCAAAAGTTTGCCATTCACTTTGGTTTCACTCATCGCAGAATAACTCCTATGTGGCCCAGAGCAAATGGGGAGTCGGAGAGACTAGAGAACACTAGAGAAGGCAATTAGGACAGCCGTCATAGAAGGCAAGAACTGGAGGCAATAGCTGTTCACCTTTCTTCGGCAGTACAGGGCAACCCCCCACAGCACCACAGGAAAGTCTCCATCTGAATTGTTGAATGGACGAAAACTCAAGTCCACACTACCTCAGATACAACACGATCTGGCACCTCAAGAAGTTAGACAAACCGATGCCAAGAGAAAGACAGAGATGAAAGAATGTGCGGATAGGTGCAGCCATGCCAAAAACACAGACCTAAGTGTTGGTGACAAAGTATTGCTAAAACAACCCAAGCAGAACAAGATGTCCACACCATTTAAACCTGAGCCACTTGAGATAAAAGACAAGAAAGGAAGCATGATTACGGCCCAAAACGCAGAACGCACTGTAACCAGAAATGCGTCATTCTTCAAAAAGCTGCCTTCCAGCGTACCAGTACAACTCACTCCAAGTGACAAGGAAGAAAAATTTACACCCAGCATTGAGACAGCTGAAGCAGCTAATGTGAGTGAAGGATATCATGAAGCAGATGAAGCAGTTGAGGATGAACCAGAAGCACCACCTGCACTTCGCAGATCGGAAAGAACAAGAAGGGTGCCTGAACATTTCAAGGACTATGTGACTTGAACATTTGCCTGGAACATTTCAAGAACTATGTAACTTGAACATTATTTGGACAGTTAGTCTAAGGAAACGATATGTTGAGTTTTGTTTTTGTTCATAGTGACATTTTCATAGTGACATTTTACCCTTCTCATTCTTAGAGGAAGGGAGAGATGTAGTGTCTTATATTGCATTACAGTATGCGCACTGGGTTGTTATTACGAGCAGGATTAGAGAAGTAGAAGTTTCCATTAAAAGAGTTCAGAATTATAATCGAGGATTCCATAATCATGATGAGCCGGCGATGAGATTCTTATGGAGGGTCTCTCTGAGAGAAGAACCGAGTGTGTATCAGTTTGAGAGACCAGTGTTTGGAGAAGTGTCTGCACCATCCAGAGCGAACTATACTATGAGGCAAAATGCTAATGAGAATGGGGAAGATTACCTCTCTGGGTGTGAAAGCAGTCTGCAAGCACTTTAACATGGATGATCGCCTTCCATCAACGGATTATCGTGAGGAAAGCCATTGAAATGCAATTGTAGATCTCCATGATTCCTCAAGCTGAGTGAGGACAAGTTGCCAACAGACAGAACTTTGGGCGTCATTTGAGATGCCCAGGAGGATATCTCCGGTTTACCCGACCGAGGGGTGATCCGGGCATGAGAAAGAAGATCTTGAGCCAAGCATTCTCTGTTTGGGATCAACGAGGACTCCTCCTCCCATTCACTATCAAGTAAGACGAATTCCTGCATGAATTATGGAGGATGGTTGCACACTTTCAAGCTCCGACAATAATCAATTTGTGGACGCTGAAATGGAATTGTTTTTACCTAACCTTGAGAGTTCTGATTTACAACATCTTCAACTAGAAGGAGATCGGTTGGCCTGGAAGAGTAGTTTGGATTCGTTGAAGAGTTTCGTGATGTGCGACTTGCAGCAACAGGGAAAGTGGACGTCGCCTGGCTTAGTTCAATTAGTTCAGAACATGCCTGAAATGACAACTAACATGCCGGACTCAAATACATCTACAACTGCTGAGCAAAGTAAGAACCAAACAGTGTCGCCTTCCATGCTGTCTGAAGATTTTTCCGCGAGTGGTATTCAACAGGCATCGGCCGACAGGGAGGGGCAGGAAAGTTCGACTCGAGAGTGATCATATTCTATGATGAGAGCTGATATGGAGGGTCTTAAAATTGATCTAGTCATCCTACAGAAAAAGGTAGAAGCAAATGCAAATCTCTTGTGAACAAATATTAAAAAAACAAGAGGAACTTATGGTAGCCACTGAGGGCATTGATTATAAAACGTGGTATGAACATTTGTTATCGACTTTACGCAAAAAAGAAAAGGAAATCCAAGAACTTGAGGAATAATGCCCGTCCTTTGAAAATCAAGCATTGTCCTTGGAACAAGAGAATGACTCACTAAGACTGGCGTTAAAGATCATTGTCCAAGAGAAGAATGAATGTGACAGCCATCCACAAAAGGCAGATGATCGTTGGTCCCTTGTGGAAAACACCCATGCCGCGAACCGTACGAAAATTAAACGCAACCAACAGACAATTCCCAACGATAACACCGATACCCGCAATAGATTTGACCTCCTTGGGAATGAGGTTCAAGGTAGTTTCATCAATGTTAGCCCAACGCCAAATAACGAAGCTAATAAAGACGGAAGAAACAGGATACCAAGCACGAGACACTCCCAGACTTCAAATTCTGGAAGCCGCACGGATAGAGCAACACGAACCCCAGACGGTGTCAATAATGATCCAACAAATCAATCGGCAAAGAGAAAGGAAGTGTTTATAGTTGGCGATTCTATCTTAAAGAACCTTCAGGGACGGAAAATCTCGAGATCTGCAAAAGTCAAGGTTTCCTCGTTCCCTAGTTGCACTTTTATGGACATGAGAGACCATATCAAACCAGTTTTACAAAGAAATTGTGATGCATGTTGGTACTAACCGCCTTCGATCAAGTGCATAGGTGCGTGATGTGCTGAGGAGATTGTTAACCTAGCCACCATGATTAGTAATGAATCCTCGGCCGATCTTGCGATATCCGGTATTATTCCGAGGTCTGATGATGACGTCCTCGCCGTTAAAGTGTCAGGTGTCAACAAGATACTAAAACTTTTTGCAATCAAAATGGATGGGGGTATGTCGACCATTCAAATATCTCTCCTGAATATGACCTAAACAAGAGTGGTCTACACCTCAACACAAAAGGAACTGCCCGACTTGCAACAAATTTTATTAATTACTTAAGAGGTGATTAGGGTATTGCCGACTGGGAAACGAATGAGTCCTTGCCTCCGCGAATAAATCGTAGGTACAACAACAGTAAGGGCGACCCATCCACTATCAATCCATTTGGCCGGGGTTTTGTTATGGCGGCATTAAATATCAATAGTTTACTTGCGCATTTGGATGATCACAAATTTTGTACCCGACTCCAAAATTGATGTACTGGCTATTAATGAAACGAAGATTGATAGTTCAGTCAATGATAATGAAATATAATTGCCAGGATTTGAGGTTGTTAGGAAAGATCGCTCTGTTAATGGCCGAAGTGGTGGTGATGTTTGCATATATTTACGGAGAAACATAAATTACCAGATCCGTAACGATTTATGTGATGACCGTCTTGAATGTGTTGTCATCGAAATTATCAGACCCCACTCCAGACCTTTTATTATCAGTACATGGTATAAACCTCCCAACTCTCCCCAAGATATCTTTTGGCAATTTGAGTCTTTAATCGATAAAGTGGACTCTGAACAGAAAGACTTTTACCTTCTGGGTGATTTAAACTGTAATATGCATATATAATATGCATGATCGAATCTTAGAAATTTAATTGAACTTACTCCTAACCCGATTAAAAGCTACACACCAAGGGCTCGCTTCGTGAATTTTTGCTTGCTAAATGCTCGTTCAATTAACAACAAGACTACTATCATCAAGGACTTTGTCGTCGAAAATAATATTGATCTTCTTGGCTTGACAGAAACATGGCTTCAATCAGATGCTGACAATGAATTAATTATTCGTGATTTATGTCCTTCAGGTTATTCATTTCATCATGTTCCTAGACCTGGTTCTACTCGTGGAGGAGGAGTTGGCTTGTTATTTCGATCATCTTTCAACTTAAAGTTGCAGCCGCTCAAGAAGTTTTTGTCCTTTGAATATATGGATTTGTTATTGTCAAGTACAGTCGGTTTAAAACTCAGAGTTATTATTGTTTATCGCCCACCTCCCTCGACCTTGAATGGTTTAACACCCTCATTGTTCCTTGATGAGTTTTCTACGTTCCTGGAGCACTATATCGCTGATCCCGGTGGAATATTATTAGTTGGTGATTTTAATATACATGTTGACACCTGTTCTTCCCAACACTCAACTGAATTTCTTCAATTGTTGGATTCTTTCAATCTTACTCAACATACACATGGCTCAACGCATAAAGATCGACACACCTTAGATCTTGTGATTACAAGATCTGATGATAGTATTGTTTCAAATTTGACAATTGGTTCTCCTTTTGTCATCTCTGATCATGCTGCTGTTCACTTCCAGCTCTCGCTTAATAAGCCGCCGCTCGACAAGAAGATTATTTCATTCAGAAAGCTTCGATCTATTGATTTTGATAATTTCTGTGCTGATGTTATGAATTCGAGCCTTCCTGATCTTTTTTTTGCCTCGTCATCGTCATCCTTGGATTATTTGATTGATCAATATAACAGAGTCCTTACTACCATACTTGAGACTCATGCTCCACTGCAAAAAAGTTAGTTACTTTGCGTCCCGCTGCACCTTGGTATTCTGAGGAGATAAATAATTTAAAGAGATCCCGTAGAAAACTTGAACGACGCTGGCGAATGACAAAACTTCCTTCTGATCGTAAGTTGTTTATTGAGGGATGTGATGCTGTCAACAACTTAATTCGTGATTCCAAGAAGAATTATTTCGCATCATTAATCAATGAGAATCAGTCAAATTATAAACAGCTTTTTAAGATAATTGATAAACTACTACAAAGGAAAACAGATATTCAATATCCCCCCTGCAAATCGCCCACTGATCTTGCTAACAAGTTTATTAAGTACTTCACTACAAAGATAGATAGAATACGGGGTCATATAACGACTGCTGCTTTCCCTCATCGAGATACAGTTGCTGTTGTTGACAACGCCTGTCCACATTCTTTTGATATTTTCAAAATGGTAACAGCGGATGAAGTTCATACATGTATCATGAATCTGGCTGCTAAGTCATGTGCTCTTGATCCTCTTCCTGGTTATGTTACAAGAAATGCACTTAGTGTTCTGTTGCCTTTCATTTCCAAAATCATAAATATCTCATTGGAATCTGGTCAGATGCCTTCGCAACTCAAGGTTGCAATGTTACGCCCGCTCCTTAAGAAATCTTCTTTGGATCATACTCAATTCTGCAATTATCGTCCGGTATCGAATCTTTCATTTATTAGCAAAGCAATTGAAAAATTGGTAGCTAATCAACTTATCTCCTACATTAACGATTATGAGTTAAATGAGACATTCCAGTCGGCTTACAAGAAATATCACAGTGCTGAAACTGCACTTATTCGTGTTCACAATGATATTCTTTCTGCCATTGATAATCGTCGAATCGTAATTTTGCTGTTGTTAGACCTTTCCGCTGCCTTCGATACAGTCGATCATACCATCCTCCTCTCTCGTTTACGTGTACGGTTTGGGATAGCTGGGAAGCCTCTATTATGGTTGCAATCTTATTTATCGAATCGCACGCAATATGTCTCTGTTGATGGTGGTACTTCGACGAAACATGACCTTAAATGTGGAGTGCCACAAGGATCGGTTTTGGGACCCATTTTGTATTTGCTTTATACTTCACCGCTTTCAGATATC